TGTGTGTGTGTGTGTGTGTGTGTGTGTGTGTGTGTGTTTGTGTGTATGTGTGTTGTGTGTCTGTATCAGTGTGTGTACACGTTTATTAGAGAAAGAGATAGATAGAGGGAGAGAAACATAGTGTGAGATAGAGAGACAAACAGACTAGCAGATACGCAGGAAGACAGACAGATACACATGAGGAGGGGGGGAGCAGACAAATAAACGCACAGACAGATACATAGGGAGGCAGACAAATACACAAACACACAGACAGGTACACACACAGACAAACAGACAGACAAACAGAGGCTGGAGGAGGTGGGAGCTCACAAGCTGTCCCTTCGTCCACCAAGAATGGTGTAAGGTGGTTCTAACAGTTGACCTCTGACATTTTTCAACCGACAAATATCCCGCCTGCCTGGGCTTTTCGTGCTGGCGCGAAATATTTTGGTATTGACATAGCGTAATGAGGATAGCGAGTCGGCGCTGGTTCGAATACCTGCACCACATACTTGCCCTTCGCGTCCGCCTTTTTTTGTTTAAACAATAGCTGTCTCCCCTTTCTTCTATACTTCACAGAAAGTAACAAAATTTCAGAATTCTTTCCTCTCTTTTTTCCTCTTTTGTTTTTGGTTTTTGGTTTTTCAAAAAACAGCACCAATACGTCACTACTTCTGAAAACAAACAGGAGGAGGAGGGAGAAGGGTATAAAAGGCTACTTAGCCAGGAATTTGAAAGAGTAAAAAAGAGTTTTTCGGAATTTCTGCTCCTCTCACAGGGGACTTTCAGTGACAAGAGTTGAGCCGTATATTCTGTGGAGACAAGAAAGAGCCGTTAATGAATTTTGTGGTCTGAACTTTCAGACAAATCTTTGCCTTCCACACAGGAGGCCCAGACAGACAGGCAGACGGCTCGTTTTGAACTCTTGCACGTTCGCATTTTGATACTTCGCTCAGTATGAAATCCTGCATCCAGACGTGGGCTGTCTTAGGTAAGTCAGCTTTTAGTTTAAGAACATATTTTTCAAAAACAAAATTTTGTTGTTCATGAACTGAGCTGTTGTTTCGTTGCTTCTCGTTCATCTTTTGAATTTACTGAAGTCTGCGATGAATTTGTTTGTTTGTTTCGTTTATGGTATTTAAAAATTAAGTTGTTTTTTAAGGGGGTTATTCTTTCTTTTTAACATTGTCCCATTCGCATTGTCGTTGTTTCAGGGAAAAAGAGATGGTAGGTCACATGTTTACAGACTTGGTTTGCCCGCATTGTAGACATAAAGTCTCAAACGTTTTAGAAAACATGGTAGATAGAGTAAACATAAGACCAACCGTACCCCCCAAAAATAAGAAAGAAGAGGAAAGGCAAGACGTAATAATAATAATAATAATCATTACAATACTGATGATATTGATAATAATAATAAACATCATCATCATCATAACAATAAATGA